ATATTGTCTCAGCTCTTTCCCACTCATCGGAGTTAGGACAATTCTTATAGTTAGAATCACTCAATTCCAAATGTTGAAAAGCGTGTCTATAAAAGAGAGCACTTTCAAGCATAAGATAAGTTGAATTCCATCTAGTAACCACATCCTGAGACAATCCTTTGTTGCTTCCCATCGACACTAACTTAACACATTCTAAAAACTTTTGCTTCCTTTGTTGTGATCCTTTAACATATTTAACACTATCTCGAATCTTCTCAACTGACTTATCAATACTTTTCAAACCATCTTGCACAACAAGGTTAAGTATATGGGCACAACATCTCAAATGAAAAAATTCACCATGAAAAGGCAACAAACCACGCAAGTTCAATTGCTTTTGCAATGCATCCACGGAGACATCATTTGAAGCAGCATTATTTAAAGTTATACTGAAAATCTTTTCCTCAATTCCCCAATCACTTAATAAGGAAAAGATTTTCTCAGATAGTGCTATCCCAGTGTGTGGAGGTGGCATAAGACAAAAACTCAGAATTCTTTTATGTAACTTCCAATTCTTATCAAGAAAATGAGCAGTCATGCACAAATACCCATCAATAGTCAATGAAGTCCACAGATCAGATGTCCAACTTATTCTACCAGGACATGCATGCAACATATTTTTTATTTTCATTTTCTCCCTTGCATACAACTTAAGAGAGTCAGCCATAGCAGTGTTCCTAGATACTAATTCCACATCAGGATGTAGATATTGAAGCATAGCCCTTAATCCTTTGTACTCAACAAATTGGAAAGGCAAATCATGCATAACAATACAAGCAGTCACCAACTCACGCCATTTTTCAGAATTAAAGCTACAAGAGCCAAACGACAAGCTACTATCACGAGAAATAAGCATTTGACCAATATCTCTAGTGTATGATCTCGGACAAGTTTTAATATGCTTCAACATGTTACTTGTTCCATACTTACTAGCAGCAAGATATTGTTGCCCATACTTCTTGCAAGCACTCTTAAGCTTTTTGTCCGGACCAAGAGGAAGGGTGTCAAAAAAGTTCCAAACTTTTGATTTCAACTTCTTCTTCTTGAGAGGTTTTTGGCCACCGACGCCTATGAGCTCAACCACATCCTCGTCAATCTCGATATCCACATCTATTGGTTCCTCAAAATCATTGTTCTCACTTTGTGCCTCTAAATCATTGTTGTTCATCTACAATAGAATTAAGAGAAAACAAATGAAACCAGTATCCCCTGGGAAAAAAAATTAAGTGTAAAAAGCCAAAGATTTTACAACTAAATAAGTACCCCTTGGTTTTATAGGTCAAATCAAAAGCTAAACAATCATAACTCATAGTCCACGCAGCTTTCACAAACTAAACAACTAAATAGAAAAGGA